ATGTGACCTACTTTCATTTTTTCAATATTTCTCCAACTAGACTAGAAAATCCCACAAAAGCTAAAGAAACCCTAATTCTATCTGACATGGTGACATAATTTTATGTTAATGTACAGACATACATTTGTTCTGACATGGTGAGGAATGAAACTTCTTTAAGCCTGTTTTGCTGAAATGTGACTTGAAATGTGTTGTTAGAAAAGTGAGCGTATAGGAGGTTATGTCAGTGCTCACTGCAGCATTAATTATTTGGCTGTTAGAGTGAGTAGCTCTTAGTGGGCAAGATTGCCTCACAGATCTGCCTTATTGACCACATAAATGGGGAAGAAAACTCTATCCCATTATTTTTACTGTTTGGCCAGAGAACAAATGACAAAGGAATAGATTGTGTTTCCATTTGCTAAGATAACCAAAGCCTCTCTTTCAGGACAGGTGTTATGGGCTGAACTGTGTCCGTATGTTGAAGCCCTAAACCTCAGTACCTTAGAATGTAACCGTATTTGCAGACAGGACCTTTGAAAGTTATGTGAGGTCATACAGATGGACCCCAATCCAATCTGACTGGTGTTCTTATAAGAAGAGGGAGACACACCAGAAATTCCTGCCCACAGAGGAAAGGCCAGGTGAGGGCGCAGTGAGAAGAGGCCATCTGCGAGCCTCAGGAGAAACCAAACCTGCTGACACCTTGGACTTGGACTTCCAGCCTCCACACCTGTGAGAAAATAAAATTTCATTATTTAAGCCACTCAGTCTTAAACAACAAACTAAATATCTAAAGGATTAGATATTAGGCACAAGTGTACCTCCTCCCTCCCCTACCCCTTGCCACCAATGCCATTTAAGGGGAACATCAGTAGAATATAATATTTGAGCTTTTACTACCAGGCAGCATACTTTACAGAGAGGCTGAAGATCAACCGGGGAAAAGTTTTTTCTGCGAGTAAAATGGAAATCAAATGTCAATTAAATAATGATATATAATGATCAAACTAGTGGCAGATATCGGCTAGGTGTATGTTTATTTTTTGCTATATAATATGCCTTATAATAATGTGCTTATGATTATTATCCAGCAATTACTCATTTTTCCCCTTATTTTAGCAGCTAACAATTTATGAAAAAATTTAATTGGCTAGATTACTGGTCAACAGTGTGGGCTTCTGCCAGCTCACCTAGGTTTGAATCTTGTCCTGCTACTTCCTAGCTATGTGATTTTGGGCAAATTACCTCCTTGTGCATCAGTCTCTTCATCTGTAAAATGGAGATAATAGTGCCTACTTGATAAGGTTGTATGAGAATTAAATGAGTTAATATATGTAAAGTGCTTAGAAGGATGCCTAACACTTATAGTGAGTGCCTAATAAATGTTGGCTATTATTATTTCCACTTTGGCCTATCTCTGCACATGAATAACTGATAGCAGAACCATTGCACCTGCGTGATCCCTCCAAGATACCTGCCACCGGGTGCCAACTGCCCCTGAAATTGCCAGCATAGTAGTAAAGAAAAGTAAGTAGCCTAGAAAACAGGAGCTATTAAATCTCACTGTTTAAAGTCATATAGGATGTTGACAAAAATACAGATGCCTAGGCCTTGTCACCAGAGATTTTGATTCACTAAGGTGGGGTGGTGCCCAGAAATCTGTCTTTTTAGTAGGCACCTTGTATAATTGTGATACAAGTGATTCTCAGAACACTCTTAGGAATACTAATCTTCTATAGTCAAAGCTATTAAATTATGATAAATCTCTTCACTTACTAATTGTAAGTCTATAATTTTCATTTAAAGTATAACGTTTAAATAAAACTAACTTAGGTGAATGAGTATGTAAATTTACTTTTCAAAATCATCTGAAAGATAATTTCCATGAGTGTTAATAAGAGAGAGTTGTTGATATAACTGAAGAAGAAATTCTGTATTGATGTAGCCCTCAATTTCTCTGTAGACAAATTATCTCAAGTTGGGTCATTCAAGGCAAGGATGAATTGTCCAAGGCTCCCCTCAGGGTTGTGGCCTGTCTACGTGAACTGAGTTGAGCACAGATGGAGAGTGAGGGCGTTGGAGAAAGGGAAATGGCTGAACAAGTACTGGCTGGCAAGGATGGCTGGAGAAATTGTAGTCTCCACCTGAAACTGAGCAGCTCAGCCTGGAGCTTGACAAAATATGACAGTGTTCCCTAAGGTCAGAACAAAGAGTGGTTAACGTTGAACTTGGGGATAACTTTGGAACTGAAACCCGTGATTATTGTGTTATGAAGAATTCCTTAAATCTGTACCCCTGTTAATCTGTACCCCATTGGTCAAGTTGCTGTGCGCACTAAGCAACGACTGCTCAGGTGCGGTGAGAGTGGTCATTATTGAGGAAATAAAGCCTGGGTCCAAAGAGGAGGGGAGCAGCTTGTGCAGAAACTTACCACAACTAAGTTGAAGGGCTTTCTGTGTGAAGGAAGGGAATGGTGGTGGTGGTTTCTGGAGCTTGCAGCCAGCGTGAGTAGCTCACCTGAGTGTTCTTAAGATGTTATAAGGAAAGTTTCGTGGTTATCCACCAGTGTTGTTGGTACAATGTTTCTTTTCAGAAAAAAATTAATTGGTTTTAACAAAGTTGAATAATATAGACAATACTGATACTGTTTATCTCTGAAAGCTTTCAAATTAGACTCCTTGAAATCTTCATGCTGCTTTTAAGATAAAAAAGCTACTTAGATACACTATTGGTTCATTGATTCTTTCCCCCTCACTTACAGTAACCACAGAACATTTACTAAGAACTGAAAATTAAGGTTATGGAGTTTATACTCTTGGGGCCATATATTATACTGAAGTATGTATGTATCTCTGTGGTTTTATATTATACATCACTTATAATTTGTGGCATGTATATGTCATACATGCCATAAATTATTTCTAAGTCAGAGCGCCTCAGCTTTATTATTAATGCAACTGTTTTTCTTAAATGTTTAGATTCAAGTCCACTAGAGTGAATCTTTCACCGTTATCATTCATTCCTGAAATACAAGGCCTTTAAGTAGGCAGGTGTTTTTGTTTAAATTGTAACTACATCCTGAAAGCTTTTGTGTCATTACCATAGTCCTATTTTGTCTGGACATTTGCCTCACTTCGATGAGTTGAGACATTCTGACACTATCATGCTTAATTGCCCCAAGATACTTTAAAATGTTATTTCTTATTATAAAAGCACTATATATTAACTGTAGAATATTGGAAAATTATAGAAAAACACAATGGAAGAAAAAGTCCTCCACAATTCCACTACTCAGCCATAACTACTATTAAAACTTTACCCACTAGTCCTTCTTTCAATCTCTCTGTCTCTGTGTGTGTATAAACATAAATTGGTAGCATACCATCAAATTATATTAATATATGGTCATAGGTAATTTTTTCAGTTAACATAACTGCATTAACATATTTCTAATTATTAAATATTCTTCAGAAACATGGTTTTACTGACTGCATAGTATTCTCTTATGTTTTACTAATATTTAAGATTTATCTTCAACTTGTTGCTACCATACATAATATCAATCCTCCTTGTGCAGAAATATTTTAACTCTGACTTCCTTAAGACAAATTAAGGAGAGATGGGTTCCTGACCAAAGAGGCAGTAACATCTGTAGGAATCTTGATCCATTTTTGTCAGATCACTCCCTGGGACCTACCTGTTTGCACTCCCGTTAGCAGAGCATCGGCACCTGTTTCACCACGCCGCTTCCAAGAAGATGTTAACTTTAAAACATATATAACAGAGAGGATGTCTTGTTGCTTTTATGCACTTTCCTTTCAATACTACTGAGGTTGGACATCTCGTGGTGGTTGACCCATAATCTTAAGAAGAAAAGAACTTTTTTTGTTAAGCAAACTTGAGACAAACCAACTATGACAATTCAGAAGTAACTCCATTGCATTGGCATCTTCATAGTTGTACTAATTCTCAGCCTCCTAGAGTCCATTAACGGACCTGTTTTAATCAAGGAAAACGTTTATTATTATAGTAAAGAGCCCAGGCTACTGTGTATGACGGATTCCACTCCCTGTCGTTTAGTCTTGTGTAATCTGGAGAAGTTACTTAACCTCTCTAAGCTTCAGTTTCTTTATCTGTAAAACAGGGCTGATAATCCTCACAATAACGAGACAGGAATTACTCAAGCTTTCAATAAAAGGTAACTACTCTTAAAAATGAGAAATATTTTTCTCCTAATTGCAACATAGGCCCAATAGATATATCGAGGTATGATAGCATAACACTCTTAAAAGCCAGAACTTTTCAAGTCCCAACAAGTTTGCATGTTTCACTCCATGTTATTATTTAAACTTAGTAGAGGAGCCTAGCACAGATAATGGGACTTTTTAAAATGAGGTTCAGGGGAGTTGGCCATGAAATGGCTTGTGCTGCCAGCCCAAGAATGGCCTTAGAATCTTGCAGGACACACATTGCTTTCTTGTCTGGTACTTAGTACTTTAGAAAGTTGCCCAAAAACTATAGCACAAATCCTCTCCCACTTCTCTTTTCTTCCCACAGGGTAAAAAAACGTGCACCACTTCAGTACTGCTGCTAAGCCTCCGTGACCATTCTAAGGTCATTACAAGAATTTGGCTGTCCTTTTACATTGTGGTGTATGTCCATCTGCTTGCCTGTCTAGGGATTTATAAATATAATGTAGATTCTCCTTCAAAGATTTTTATTTCAGTGATAATTCAATTCTTTGTGTAATGTATTTTTGAGAGTGCAAGTATTTTTTAAGATTTTAAAAAATACATTTCAAACTTTAGATTATATCTAGAGTCTTCCACGCTGAAGATGTGAATGGGATACATGCTAACTAGCTGTTCACCATGTTGACCAGGTTGACAGCCAGATGGGTTGTTAGCAGTGCCGGAGGTGCCCTGACGGCACGCTCTGAACTGCTTTCTCTTTCACATTCTGGTACTTTTTCAGCTGACAGCCCAGAGAGTGGGTACGGATTCCGCTAGCAGCTGCAACTGAAAAGCAAGGTTCAGAAATGTCAGAAATCCTCCGGGAGCTGCTCCGGGTCTCTGAGAAAGCTGCCAACATTGCTCGGGCGTGCAGGCAGCAGGAAGCCCTCTTCCAGCTGCTGATCGAAGAAAAGAAAGAGGGAGAAAAGAATAAGAAGTTTGCAGTTGATTTCAAGACACTGGCTGATGTACTGGTACAGGAAGTTATAAAACAGAATATGGAGAACAAGGTAAGAAAGGTCACAGCCAAGGTAATTGCAAAATACTTGCCTGTGTGGCTTTTTTCCCCCTCATAAAAAGCATGCCTTTTACTCCCCTCACCCCCTCAGAATACTAGCACCTTGGATTCAAATAAATGTCTTGGGAGTTTTTTTCTCCCTTGTTTTGATTACAATATTAATAAAATGTTCATTGCAGAAAATCTTTAAAATACAGAAAGGCAAAGAGGGAAATAAAAATCACTCACAATTCTAACACCTAGAGATAAATATTTTGATATAGAACCTTTCATTTATTAACGAGTTTCTTAATAATGTTCTCTAGAAAATAAGCAAAAATGATAATCCTCTTAATCTCGTCACCAGAGAAAACCACAGCTATGTTTTGCTAAATATCGTTAGAACATTTTCCTTCTGTGTGTATGTGTGTGCATGACGTGTACAATTTATTTCAACAGAAATGAGAGCATATTATTTTGTAACCTGATTTTTTTTTAACTTGATATATTAAGTCATATCTTTTGGACTTAGTCATTTATATAATAGTTGTCTTAGTTACGGGATTGTGGCTGGAGACGTAAAGTCTCACTTTATTCTAGTAGAAAAATATTCTTTATAACAAACAATGATTGTCATTCTAAGTATCTTGAGCTGACTGGGGAAATAAACTGTGTTCCTAAGTTGTAGTAATAATAATACTAGCAGGACTTCTACATGCTGGACCATGTGCTAGGCACTGTTCTAAGGGCTTTAAATATATTAAGTCTTAAAACAATTTTATGATGTAAGAACTATTATTCCAATGTAATGGATGAAAAAGGGAGGCACAGAGAAGTTAAGTAACTTGCCTAAGGTTACACAGCAAGTGAATGGTAGGACCAGTTTTTGGACACAGTTTTAGGCAGAATGGCTCCAGAAGCTGTTCTTTATACTACTATATTGTTAGATTTGGGAAGATAGAACTTTATTATAGCATTATAAAGTAATTAGAATAGTTTCTATGAAATTCTCAAAATACTAGGAATCATCTAGAATCATTTAAGTGGAATCTTGACCACAAGCAGGAGAAGAGAATAAATGACATCATGAAATCTCCACAAACTGTACTTTTTCATGCTGTTTAATACTTAACTCCAATAAACTAAATGAAGCGAGTTTATTTTTGTTTCTTACTTGTCAATATAGTGGAATGCAAAAGATAGTTAAGCAACTGGATTATAAATGTACCAACATTAATTTTTAGAGGCTAATACTTCAAAGCATTATAACAAGTTCAGGCAATTGTTCATTTATGAATTGTATCCTGTTTTGACTATAAAAATCTTTATTTCATGACCATTATATCCTGTAGCCTCAGGAACAAGTCTTTAAGCAGGCTGGAGAGATGGAGCTTCAGTCCTTGATGAATGGGCTGGTTGCCAGCCCTTGTTGACTTGTACTGCCCTGCAAAAGAGAAAAAAAATAAGTGGTCATGGACATTATTAAAGCTATTGGCCATCTGCAAATGAACGAGTTCAAATATTTGAAGCATTTCCTTTCGTTCCCCAAGAATATCATGCATATCATAATTCAGCACATATTCTGAAAAAAATTATCTTTACTACAAAGATCAGAAACAAAATGTATCAAAAGCTTCCTGATCATACAGAGATGAGAAAATTCTTACTTGATTCCATTTATCACTCTATATTGATGCTTAAATTATTGGTAAATAAAATATTTCCCTTTTTTCTATGTCACCTTCCTAGCCTGACGACTAATGATACTTCCAACAGGTGACGAAACATACACCTGAAAATGAAAACAAAATCTAATGTTATCCTCTAATCCCTTCTGTCCAGGCTCAAGTAATAATTTTAGGTACTTGATCAACAATATTAACTCATAAGCTACTAGGGTGTGCTTAAATTAAAACATCTCCTTTGCAAACATTCTAGTTCTATGGCCCTTGGGTAGAAGGATGAAGTTTCTAGAAGTACTTCTGCAAACTGAACAGAACATAAGGAAACTAGATACTCACTGTGATTTGGACCTCCTAGAGGGGCAAGGGAGCAGGAAAATTAAGCACTGAACCAAGCTGACTTCATTTTTTTATACTTGGATTGGTTTCTAGAACTGGAAATTTTAGAATTTCAGAACTAATTGTGCTATTTAATTTGAAATATAAAATTAATCTGTTCAGAATTGAACATGTGTGGGTTTTGTTTTGTTTTTTTGTCATATTCTGAATCATTCAGTTTCCAGGCTTGGAAAAAAATATTTTTGGAGAAGAATCCAATGAGTTTACTAATGATTTGGGTAAGTATAAGAATCTTAATGTGTTTTTGTAACTTAATTATCATATGATATTCTAATCTCTAATTTATACATAAAAGGTTTGGAAGCCTTTTAATGTAAATATATTTGAATGTTAAGGTTCATTCAATTTCTATCTCAGAATATCATACCACTTAGAAAAGTGTGGTATCTTAGAATAACTTAGTAAGTACATGTATCATTTTAGATATCAATCTGTAGATTTAGAGAATTTATGATTTAACCTTTGGGAAAATTGTATGACCCTTTGGAAATCTAATGTAAGTTAGCGATGTCCCAAAATGTACATCTACACAATTGTGCAGATGATTTCAGACCCCAGGTTTAAACCCATTTGTGAACTCCCTGGGGAGCCCGTGATCCTTGGCTAACAGTGTAGAGCAGGCCCTGGCCCTGAAATACTGGGTGATTTTGAGCAAATCACCTCATCATTTCCCTGAATCTTAGAACCTCTGTAAAATACTTGTACTAACAAAAAGCTTCCTTTTAGTTCCAAGTTTTCAAAAGTTTCAAAACTAAACTTTTATTTAGTTTCCTGTGGTCCAGATTCTCCCTTGATGGACCTCCATGTTCCTTTGTGGTATAGAGGAAATTATCACAATCTCCATCTGATTCTTTTCAGAGAAACATTTTTTCAGTTTGGGTTTTTTGTTTGTTTAATGATGAAAGACTAAAATAGGGCCAGTCAC